CAGAAGGAGGAGCCATTCTACCTATCCATCAGCAGATGAGTGGATAAGTAAAGTGTAACTGGCATGCTTCTGCAGGGGAATATTACTCAGTGTTGAGAGGGAAGGGCATTCTGGTGTGTGCAACAAAAATGGATGAACACTGAGGAATTGGTATGGTGAGTGGAATATGCCAGTCACGAAGGGCTAGTGCTGCCTGGTTCCATTGCCATGCTTAAAGAAGCTGATTCGTAAAGACAAAAGAGGCATGGTGGTGCACGCCTGTAATTCCAGCTGCTGGGAAGCTGAGGTGGGAGGGTTGAGTTTGAGGTCAGTCTGAGCAACACAGCAACACCTGGTCTTTAAAAAAGAAATCACACAGAGCGAGTAAAGTGATGATTGCTAAGCTGAGAGGGGGAAAGATAGGAGGTAATATTTAATGGGTTCTGAATTTCAGTTTTGCAGGATGGAGAAGTTATGAGTGGGTGGGGTGGTAGTTACACACTAGTTGGAATTACTTGATACCATTAAACTGGACACTTAAAAATTATTTAAATGGTTGAAGAGAAACAGAGGAGGAGTGGATTGTGGGGGAGAGGGTAGATGGGGGAGGGTCTAGGGGAGAGGAGGGAGGGGAAACTTCAGTTGGGATATAAAAACAGGAAAATGCATAAGCAAAAATATAATTAAAAATATATATTTACATGGGGCTGGCATGATGGTTCAGTAGTAAAGAAAGCTTGATGACCTGAGTTAGACCCCAGAACCTACATAAAGGTGGAAGAAGAGAACTAATCCACGAAATTAAATTGTCTTCTGACCTCCACATGCACACCCACATCACACTCTCTCTCTCTCTCTCTCTCTCTCTCTCTCTCTCTCTCTCTCTCTCTCTCTCACACACACACACACACACACACACACACACACACACACACCTGACTGTTCCTTATCCTAGATCTGATCTAGGAAGTGTACTGTAATCAAACAAAGTAATGTTCCTATAATATATGTGTATCTTTGTACTAATGGAACAAAGTAAAAAAAAATAACAAAAAAATCCCTTCACTGCACTATAAAGGACATCATACCACCAAATGGGTTGCTAGAAAATTTGTTTCTAGAGTCCCATAGATTCCAGATGTGTAGACACATGTGACCTATCACACAATGCACTTTCAGTTAACTTACCTGTGTTAGATTTGCAGCTGGTTTTTAGGATTTCAGAATCTATAGAATGTTTTTATTTCTCAAATATTTTTGAAGGATTATAGGGCAGGGAAAAATCTCATAGCAAAAAGACACACTAGCCTGAGGCAGACCTTCAACCCAGATAGGTTAGCAGAGATCCAGTAACAGAGCCTGCCTGCCATCAGATGGGAGAAAGGGAGTAGGGCATGTTGGTACACACAGTACTCTTAGCACTCAAAAGGCCGAGTCTGTATAATTGAGGGTTCAAGGCCGCCCTGGGCAGAATGGCAAGATCATTCCTCATTCACCAAAACCTGAGGGTGGGATATGTGGTGAATGGAGGGGCTAATATAACGCTACCAACCACGAATTTCTTTCCCTCGCCTTGACCAACCACAAATTTCTTTCCCTCGCCTTGTCTGTTTCTTTCAGATACAATACTAGAAGAAGAGAGGAGTGAAATTTATCACTTTAAACCTCCAGTAATTCATCAAGGTAAATGGCCAGATATGACCAATTTTAAAGGATTGGGTGGATAGTGTACTGTAGCTTCACCTCCCCTACTGATGGAACAGGATGGAAGGGCCCTGAGGATGGCAAGCATCTCTGGGAAGAGCAGCATGGCCATGGGGACTCACTCCAGTGACGCCCTCTCTCCATATGACCTGGGTGCCCTAAGTCCAGCTGCTTAGAGCAGAAGCATGTCCTGAATCCTGGGCCTTCTCACCCTCCACAAGACCTCCACAGGACTCTCGAGAGTAACAACTTGGCTCCTGAGTGGCCCTTTGTCTTCCTACAGGCGTTCATGGCTCTTCAGACTGCTGCTTCTCCTATGTCTCACGGATCCCGTGTTCGAGATTTGTGTCCTATTTTCCAACTAGTGGTGGGTGCATCAAGCCAGGCATCATGTAAGTGTCAAACACACTGATTGTGTGGGAGGGAGAGGGGGAGCCTCCAGGATCCTAGATGACCTAGTGGATAGGCTTCCAGAAAAGACCCATCCTTGGATCTCACCAGGTAAGCGGAAGGATACTTCAGGGTGTAGAGAAGGGGACTGCCTGAGTCACTCCATTAGGGAATCTCACAGGCCTAGAAAAGACCCTGGAGAGGAGGTGGTCTGAGTCATCTCCTAGAAAGAACAGATTGTTGAGTGGAGCCTCGGAGGGTCCAGAAGATGGGGTTCCCTTCTCTATTTACTAGAGACCTCTGTTTGTAATCTATCTTCCCCTTTTTCTCCAGCTTTGTTGCCAGGAGGAGGAACCAGATCTGTGCCAACCCCAGTGATCCAAGAGTTCAGGAGTGCATAAAACGCCTGAGGCCAACCATAAGACCTGGGAACCAAGCCATTGCTTGAGAAGGAGGGCATGTATTGCCAGCCACTTTCTTCTGCCTTCCCCAGTGACCACCTAGGAGGCTCTAAGCATTTATTTTTATAGATATTTAAAGGACTTGTCCTGCTGTTCTGGTTAAAATGGCTCATGTAGTCAACAGTATTTATAGGGACTCAGCTTGGCATGGCTAGAACCATCTTGAGTTGTAACCATCATGATTGTCTTTGAGTAACTATTGAGTTTTTCCTGCATAGTTTCTCAGCAGATTATAAGTGGATAAATTATTAGAGCACTCTTTGGGGGCTTTGGAATGTGTCTGGTTCTGATACTAACTTAAGCCAGGTACATCAAGCCGAGATGAAGTCAGTTTTGCCCTAGCCCATACATATGGCCAACTTTGTGGGGACCCAGCTGTTCTTCCTACCACACTAGAGCAGTAAAGCATCACCAAAAAATAAAGTGCATCTGTGTAGCCACAGGTCTGTCAGTCTTTTTCTTCAGATTCACAGACCCACGGGGCAGTCTGAAATTGGACTACTGGGGAGAAATTATCGCACTCACTCACCTTGAATTTCCAGGGCAAGTCATGTAACTTTGGATATTTTCTTCAAAACCAAAGATATCATGGCATAATTTTTAAATTTCTAAGAACACAGTTTATTCCAATGTAGACTTCATATCAAAGAGGTATTTTACCCACTAGTGAGGGAACCATTAAATTGGCTAAAATGTCTTTGGGTTTTGTCTCTGTTTGGTGGGGTTAAGGAATGATAGGGGCCTCTGACAGGCTGAGGAACAAAGGCAACATCAGCCATGAACTCAAGCCTTCCCTTTACCTACTCTGATATTCTTTGTATTGCTACAATATTATGCTCTTATGAAATACACATTTGAGGGTAAAAATGGCTGACTAGAGGCTACCTCTGAATAAGCAAGTCAAGTGGAGGATCAGAATAAGAAAAAATACACTTTATCCCAGAAAGAAAGCTAAGAGGAGCTTCAGAACCCTGGAAGGGAGTGAAAGGAACGGGGGGGGGGGGGGGGGGGCAGAAAATAACCCCTCCCCCATGCAGGGAAGTAACTGATGAATGCAGCCTACCCCACGCTGTTCCCCAGTAGGCGGAGGGGACAGCTTCCAGTCACAGGGCAAGCCTGCACCTCTCATGAGGCTCAGATCCCGTCATAGGCTTTGCTGCGGCAGTAATTTCTCATTTGGATGGGTCAGTGGTGGAGAGAAATACCTTTTGTTCACACACCTGGGTAGAGGGGCAACAGTCAGGCGCCATCCTGAGATAAAATCCGTTATTTTAAAAACTGAGTTACGAGTTATTCAAAACTGGTAGAGGTTCCTGAGGTCAGGGAACCTCTACCAGTTGGGGAGCCATAACTTGGTTCGCCACAACCTCTCGGTGAGGGAAGTGGATGAGCTGTGGAGAGTTGGAGGGCTGGACACTAATGAGCTGAAGGGTCAAGTCACAGCAGGGTTAGCTCAGGCTCAGACGTGCATAAGAGAGATAGCCCCGCCCTCCATGACAGGGAACAGATCCCATCAACTGAGAATAACCCTGGCTTTGATAGTTCGAGCCTGAAGCAGGCGGATGGATCAAATCCTAGAGCCAGAGGTTGTTCACTGCCTCCATAGGCCCAAGGCCTCTGAAGTTCCAAGAATGTACAAAATACTGACAAAAAGCAGCATGGGGAGGGAAATGATCTAGTTTAGCTTACAACCCAAATCACAGGCCATCATAGCAGGGAAGTCGCTGTGGCAGGAGTTTGCACATCCACAGTCAAGAACGGAGAGAAATAAACACATGCGTGTTCCTTCCTCGCTTGCTTAGTTCTCAGCCAGTTTTTTCTATTCACAGTCCAGGGCTCAGTGCCTGAAACGGTGCCACCCACATTCAGGACAGGTCTTCCCACTTTAATTAACAACCAAGACAATCCCCCATACACATGCCCACAGATCAACCCTGTCTAGCTAATTCCTCTTAAGATTCTCTTCCCCAGTGATTCTAAGCTATGGCACATTGCCAGTTAAAGTAACCAACACGATACTCACAGTGGCATTCCCCCAGCAGGGTGATTCATACTCAAGAGGTCTTGAAAGTATGAAGACAGGTCCTCTGCTCAAACCAACCTCGGTGTTGCGGTTTCTTCCCACATTCCCAACACACCTGGGAAACACCCTCCAGATAAAACATAAAGCACCCCAATCTGGCAAGTCTTAGGAGGATGAAAGAATTTGCCCAGAACACAGAAGGAAACCTATGAGGCCCACAGAACCTCTGCTCTGCAACGAATGGGAACTGCAAAAGCAAAAGACCGTGCAGATGGATGTCACACACCTGTCCAGTACAGACTCAATACCAGCACAAACCATAGGAAATACAAGAGTCTACAGCTCAACTGGTCCTCTCCCATCTCTGTGCATAAAAGGAGAATCCCAAGAGAATACAAACAAACATCTGAATTAAATAAGGATAATTAAATAAATTAAATATCATGGTACATGATATGAAAGTGGAATTCAATGAGGGTATAGAAACACTAAAGAAAAACCATAGTGAGCTACTGGAGATCCAAAATATAGTGAATCAAATTAAAAGTTCTGCCGAAAGCCTCACCAGTAGAATCAGCCAATGGAAGAACAGCATATCTGAGCCTGAAGGTAAGGTATAGGGACTAGAATATGACAAGAACAAAGATGAATTCATGGAAATATATGAGTTGGACTTTCCAGCTATTCAGGACACTGGGAGAAGGTAAAATCTAAGAATCACAGGAGTAAACGAGGGTAAAGAACTCCTTTCCAAATGCATAGAAAACATCTCCAATGAAATCATAGCAGAAATTTCCCCCACACCAGGCCAAAAAAAAAAAAAATCTATTCAAACAGAGGAGGCATTTAGAACACCAAATACACAAGAGCTGAACTTCCTCTTATCATATATAATTAAACCACTAAATATTCACAACAAAAAAAAAAAAGGTGTGTGAAAAGCAGCAAGAGACAAGCACCAAGTCACACATCAGGAGAAGCCCATCAGAGTAACAGTTTTCAGCAGAAAATTTAAAGAACAGAAGAGCTCAGTATGGTGTTCTTCAAGTTTTGGGAGACATCAACCTCCAGTCCAGACCACTATCACCTGCAAAGTGCTCAGTCATAACTGAAGACGAATGGAAGAACTTCCCATGATAGGAATAGGCTTATGAACCTCAAAAGGCCAAACCTGGGTCCCCTATAAAAGCAAAAATCACTCTCAACCAATGAGCTTTCTTTCTAGGCTTCCCTTCTTGTTTTATTTGACCACATTGGAATAAAACTACAAACAAACAACAAACATTTACTAACTCACAGAGTTTAAATAACTCACTATGTGGACCAGGCTAGCCTCAAACTAACAGAGACATACCTGCCTCTGGCTCCCAAGTGCTGGAATTAAAGGTGAGCACCACCACATCCAGCCTTAGATGTTTCTCCTGATAGACATTCTAAAGAGATTTTTCTTCTTGAGTTAAAGGATATTAAAAAATATCTAAGGGGACTGAGGAGTAGGCTCAGTGGTTAAGAGCACTTGCTGCTCCTGCAGAAAACCCAGGTTCAGTTTCCAGCACCCACATGGTGGCTCACAAACATCTGTAACTCCAGTTCCAGGGGATCTAACGCCGTCTTCTGACCTCCATGAGCACTGCATGTATGTAGTACACACACATACCTGCAGGCAAAACACTCAAGAATATAGAACAAAATAAATCTCTAAAAAATAATGAAAAAGGACCTGACATCAATTTTTTATATCTCTAGTAAGACATATAAGTTTGCATTTATAATCTATATGTCTCGGTCCACTGGAAATGAGCATAAGTAAGTATCCTCCAAGTTAACCCCTCATCGGAGGTCTGGAAGGACCCCCCACTCCCACCCTGTGGTCAGTGCTGAAGAAATGAATGAATCTCTCGGGGTGGGGGGGGAATCCTCCTGGAAATATTTACTCTCTCTGACTGAATTGATTGGAACGGTTTGGAAAGCCCCGGGTCACCTTTGCCCTCTACTTCCCATTGTACTCCAAGCCTCGTTCCCTTTTCTGGAATTAGCATGTTGAGTATCGTGTAGTTAAAGAACAGCATTATGAGCCCTAACCGGGGACTTCCTGGTCCTCTCACTTTTATAAATAGCCAGGCAAGGCAGGGGACAGCGAGCAGTCTGAAGGCCAGTTGGCTCTGCCCACCGGGAGGATGAAGTCTTTTTCTACTGCTTTCTCTTTCCTCTTTCTTGCAGTTGCTCTTGGATTCCAGGCCCAGATCATACATGGTGAGTACCATGGGAACTGGAAGTCTGGGGAGAAGGGCAGCGTGGACTGCTGTGAATAATCTCTATCCCCGACAGAGCAATGGCGTTTACTTAGAAACTGCACCAAAGTATAGACCTTCCTTTGTCTGTAGCTTCTGGGTCAGTGGTTCTCAACTTGTGAGTAGCGACCCTTTCATGGGAGTCACATATCAGATATTCTTCTATCAGATGTTTACATTATGATTCATAACAGTAGCAAAATTACAGTTATGAAGTAGCAACAAAAATAATTTTGTGGTTGGGGGTCACCACACCATGAGGAACTGTATTAAAGGCCTCAGCATTAGGAAGGTTGAGAACCACTGCTCCGGATCCTGGTACACTGATGATTCGCTTCCATTTGGAGAAACAATATCTTCCTTTTTCATAGCTAGAATTATTTGATGGCTTAAGATCATCTTAGCTAATGTTTTAGCTACCCCAAAATAACTATAATTAAATTGTAAATTTGTGAAAATAAACAGAGTTCTGTGATGCTAGAACTGTTAGATGTCAGTGAGTATAAAACCATCCTTTTTTAAGGCCTTGGGATCAGCAAGGCAAATGGCTCATCCAAGGTCACTGTCTCATTTGAAGCTATGATATTTTAGTTTATGGAGGTAGCTAGGGCTCAACACAGAGAGGTCCTATAAAATAAAAGATGTATTCCTTAACTTTTCCAAGACAGAGGGGTACACCATACCCTACCAAGCCAAGGAGAATACTGGACTTGAGTCAGGAGGTCTAAGCAATAGAAGTCGAGAAACTCGTTTCACGTTCTTTATTAGGGATATTGGGAAAGAGGCAGGGCACAGTGCAGGGTACAGGTGAGACTTCCTAGCCTGAAGAAGTCTGGCAGACTTTGAATATATGGATGGTTTCTGATTGCCCAGGGTCTAACTTAGAGAGTTAGGGCAAGGGAAACACCAGCACGGCGTTGAGGGTGAGATAAAGGTTCAGCCTGAGTTGGTTTGAACCCTCTGTTAAGAAACAGTTAACCTCTCCCCGCTGTCAAGATCTTAAGTATGTCAGAATACATAGGATGCAGAAAACAAATATGCTTAGTAGAGTGGCCTAGCCATCCTATTTCTCTCACAAGGGTTTATTTAGCACTCCCTATGTGCCAGGCAGCTACTGTTCTGTCTTACAGATGCTGATTCGTTTCTCATCCAGCATTCCTGAGGGGTCGGACAAACAGAAATACACCATTCTTGTAGGAAAAAAAAAAGAAATCAGAAGACAAGCAATTTTGCATAGCCTTGTATATTATTATGCCTGTGCTCAATTTACAAATGAGAAAATTGAGACAGAGAAGCCTTTGATAACTTAAGACTATATAAACAGTAAAGGACAAAATTAAGAGGTAGATTAGTAATGATGTGTTTAAGAAAAGGTAATGCTATTTAAGATTTGCTTTGGAAGCCCACCCACATCACATCAAGCATGTTAAAAAAAAAGTAGTCATACACCTTACTACCCATTATTCATATGCAACTATTGAAAACATGATGTAAAGGGTTAGTTGCCTTTTCTTAGTACAATGCAAATTCTCAATCCTTTAGCAATAATCTTTGGGCTTAGATATATTTGGGGATGCAGGATTTTTCTAGATTTTAAAAAGTGATATGTTGCTGGATACCATATGCTGGTAACATCCCTGATGATTTCTGCAGAGCACCCCTTCATCAGACATTTATATAAACTTAGACTATTAGGAGCCTCATTTCACTTCAAGGGTCCTTGTGTCCCCAAAGGAGTTGAGGAAAAACATGCAGTTTCCAAATTCCTAAAGATTGCAGAAAAATGTACCAAGAACTGTGAGTGTTCCACTGTATGTAGACACTTCATTAATGTCACTGTATTACATTTACACTTCACTTTTAGTACTTTATCAGCAGGATGTTTTCAAACAATCTCAGAAAAATCTCGTGTCACCAAAAGGGACGAATGGGCCCAGAGACAGACCTTAGAACCCAAGCATGTGATGGGGGCCCAGCATCGGAGCCTGTCTGCCTTGGCGAGAATGGGGGTGGTGGCAGCAAGTGGAGATGCTGAGACAATGACGCTGCTCTCTGCACTCTGTTTCTTCCAGCAACAGAGACCAAAGAAGTCCTGGAGGCAAAGGAAGGACTTGAACCTGATGTGCTTCCCCTGGGTAAATATTTCATTACAGCTTGTATTGAGAAGGACCAAATGGTTGTCCATCAGCCCTAGAGCATCATTCTCCTTGATGATAGGACAGAACAACGTCATGAGGGTGGTTGAGGATGCTCTCCAGAAATCACTAGGGATGTTAAGGAATTTCCAGCAACATTCCCAGGAAGATCAGGATGGGCCATGAGTATTCCCTCCAGTATTCCCTTCTCTATGCACCGAGTCTGCCCACTTGGAGCAGAAATTGCCCATAGGTGACATGCTCCTAGCCCTACTGTGGTCCACCTTAGGCCCATTACAGAGTGTGAAAGGAGATGACAATGAGGCAGGGTGAGGAGAGAGCATCCCCTGAGTCCTGGTACTGCTCTGGGACCCCCCCCCCCAGCACTCTTAAGAGCAAAGACTTGGCCCTTGAATGGCCCTTTCTCTTCCTACAGGCTTTGGAGAGTCTTCAGACTGCTGCTTCTTCTATACTTCATGGATCAAGTGTTCAAGATTTGTATATTATTTTCCAACCAGTGGTAGTTGTCTCAAGCCAGGCATCATGTAAGTGTCAAGTTCACTCACTGTGTATTGGGAGCAAGGAAGCCTCTGGGATATTAAAAGACTTACTAGATATCCAGGAAAACCCCATCCTTGGACACTGCCAGGTGGTGGAGAGGATACTTCAGAGTGTAGAGAAGGGGACTGCCTGAGTCACTCCATTAGGGAATCTCACAGGCCTAGAAAAGACCCTAGAGAGGAAGTGGTCTGAGTCATCTCCTGGAAAGAACAGATTGTTGAGTGTAAATGGGAGGGTCCAGAGGATGGGGCTCCCCTTCTCTATTTACTAGAGACCTCTGTTTGTAATCTTTCTTCCCCTTTTTCTCCAGCTTTGTCACCAAGAAGAGGAACCAGATCTGTGCCAACCCCAGTGATCCAAGAGTTCAGGAGTGCATAAAACGCCTGACGCAAAACCCAAGACCTGGGGACCAAGTCATTGTTTGAGAAGGAGGGCATGTATTGCCAGCCACTTTCTTCTGCCTTCCCCAGTGACCACCTAGGAGGCTCTCAGCGTTTGTTTTTTATTAATATAAAAACATTTACTTTCCTGTTCCGGTTTAGAGCAACACATCTAGCTTTGTCACCAGGGGAACTTGTCTGTGCCAAGCCCAGTGATCTGAAAACTGAGAAAATGCATGAAAAGCCTGATGCTGACCTCACTGACTACACATAACATTTAATTAAGATAAGAGGGCAAAGGCTGGAAAGATGGCTCAGCGGTTAAGAGCACTGGCTGCTCTTCCAGAGGACCTGGGTTCAATTCCCACTCAGATGGCAGCTCAATCTATCTGTAATTCCAATTCCAGGGGAATTGATACCCTAGTCTGCTCTTTAATTAATAGTATTTATAGTATTTTTATGAATTCAGCTTGACATGACTAGCACCACCTTGAGCTGTAACCATGATTGCCTCAGAATGAATAACTCTTGGGTTTCCTTGCATAGTTTCCCAGCAGATTATAAATGGATAAACTGAGAGTGGTCTGTGGGGCTTGGGAATGTGCCTGGTTCTGACATGAGCTTAAGGCAAGCCGGATACATTCAACCAGGATGAAATAAATCCTGCCTTAACTTATACATATGCCTGTCTTTGTGGGGACCCATCTTCCCGCTACCCCTAGATCAGTAAGCCCCCTAATAAAGATCGTTCATGCAGTCACAGGTCTGCCTGTCTCTTGTTCTTCAGTTTTGTAGGACCATGGGTTGAAACTGGGCTGTTGGGGATGGAGTGTCTCACTCACTTTATTTGAATCTCCAGCAGGGAGAAAACGGGGAATCACACAACTTCGTCTGTTTTCTTCAAAACAAAAGACATCATGGTATAATTTTTAAATTTCTAAGAACACAGCTTATTCCAAGGTAGACTTCATATAAAAGACGTACATTACCCACTACTGAGGGAACCATTACATTGATCTAAGAATCTGTGGGGTTAGTCCTTGTTTGAAGGGGTCCTCAGTTCCATTCCATTGATCAGTTTGTTTTGCACCGGCATCGAGCTGTTTTATTACCATGGCTCTGTAAATGATAATTCCTTCAGCGGTGTTTCTATTGTTCAGAGCTGTTGGGTTATCTAAGATTTTTTTTGTTTCCATATGAATTTTAAGATTGTTATTTTCAAATTCTGTGAAGAATTGCATTGGAATTTGGATGGAAATGGCATTCAATGTGTAGATTGTTTCTGGTAGGATGGCCTACCAAATCACAATATTAAGCCTACAGACCATGAGCATGGGTGGTCTTTCCATCTTCTGGGGTCTTCATCAATTTCTTTCTTCAGGGTTTTGAAGTTTTTACTGCACAGCCCCTTTGCCTTATTGGTTAGGTTTGTCTCCCGTCAGCATGACATTGGCGACAGGCTTGTGTTTATTCCCTCATGACATTGAGATACGTTCCTAGTATTTCCAGTGTCTTCAGGACTTTCATCATGAAGAGCTGATGATTGTGTGGCTTCTGTCATTGAGTCCATTTATGTAGTGGATTACATTTATTGATTTCTGTTGGCTGAGCCATCCCTGCAAGTCTGGGATGAAGTGCTTTAGGATTTCAGAAAACAGCTTTTTCTTAGTCCCCGTTTGCCTAAGCCACACTGTTATAGTTTGTGATCCATCAAAAGTCTCATATAGACTTTGGTTTCCCCATAACTTTTTCTACTAGCCAGCAGAGAATCTGGGTTTTGTTTTAATATTATTCCTTGTTTCCAGTAACACCATGGACTTCATGGTAACTACTTCCCTCTTAGGGAAAGTTCTTTCAGGACCTCCTAACTTTCCATTTGATTCAGAGAGAATATGCTATGCCTGCCAAAAACAAAAGCCTGTCACACTGGAAAGCCTCCTTATCACATGCCAGAGTTCATTCCCCCATGACAGGCAGCTCACAGCATCTCTCCCTTGGGCTCCTTTTTCATTATGTTAGACTATCCCCTTGAACTTCCTCCTTCTGTACAAGATGACAAGGCAAACACTCTCCCTTGTGCCAGTGGGATCCAGGCCAGGAACGTTCAACTCCCTGGGTGGCCATGCTAATACTCCCTTCTAGAGCTTCCAGCCTGGCACCAGTGTCACAGGCAAGTGCAAAAAGAAAGGACTTGCTCTGTGACAGCGGTGATGCACCAGCTTCCAGACGAGGCAGCTCACAAACCTCAAGACCAACAGTACCACTAATTGCAGTGCCCAGCAGAGGGGGCAGCGTCCACACCAGCTGGGGCAGATCAGGCCACTGCACTGGAACTGATCTCTATAGATTTCTATGCCTCTCCCAAGCCTTCCTGACAACTCTGTGCATGACCCCAAATCTTTGAAATATCTTCTTTTTGCTTAAATCAACCAGAGTCAGTTTCTACTGCTTTGCAACAAAAACACCTACAACTGATAGGAAGAATAAGCTTTTGGAGGACTTTGAAATCCCAGCAGTTTTTGTTTACCTTTGAAGAACGACTTGGAAGAATATAAAGGTATACATTCAGACTTCTTAGAATACTGCAGACACCTCTAGTTGTAGTCTAGCATCTAATACAAGGGCCAAATTCCAAAGCCAATTGTTTTATTATTATTATTATTCCTTTGAAAATACAGTTTTAGACATTTTAGGAATTCGGAGGGATTGAGTCCTTATCCTTGAGGTATGTGTGTCTGTGTGTATGTGAATTTATTAAGTGAGCTTTAAAATAGTAACGATGTAGTGGCCCACACCTTTAATCAGGAGGTAGAGACAGGTGGATCTCTGAGTTTGAGGCCAGCCTGGTCTATATCAAGAGCTCCAGGACAGCCAAGGCTACACAGAGGAACCCTGTGGTGGTGGTGGTGGTGGTGGTGGTGGTGGTGGTGGTGGTGGTGGTGGTGGTGGTGGTGGCGGCGGCGGGGGGTGGGGGTGGGGGTGGGGGGGGTGGGGGGGGCAGTAACAACAGCTAAATACACATTAGATGCTCAGAACCTGGTAGTTACTTGGTCCTTGAAGTTGGGTGACAGACAGAGTAGTCCCACAATAGCTGTCTCTCTCTTGGGGACAATTCCTTGATAACTCAGTCTACAAGGCAGGTGATTTAGTAGTCCAAATCTGGTGCTAGAATCCCGGAAATTTCCTGGAGGGCCACTGATACCTAGTCCACAACGAAAGCTTGGAAACACTGGTTCTGCCACCAGCGAAGGGATCACCAGCATCAGCAACAGAGCAAACCAACTGGCGTGGAAATAAGAGGGAAGCCAAGCCATGGAAAGGCAAAATAATCTTGAGCTCCGGAGCCTCCTACCTCCGCCTTCTTATTGCTGGGATGGCAGGCATGTGCCACCACGTGTGTGTGCAATGCTAGTGACCAAAGCCAGGGCTTTCATGAGGTCCCATTGGTCAATAATCAGCCTTATTTCCTGAGCAATTAGAGTCCTAATCAGAAAGTCCTCACCTATCCCTATGTCTTGAAGTGTATCCCATATTTCCTCCAGCAGACTCATGTCTATGTTAAAGTCTTTGAACCATTTGGAGTTGATTTTTGTGCATGGTGAGAGATGAGGACCTAGTTTCATTCTTCTATATGCAGTTATCAGTTTTCCAGGTACCATTTGCTGAAGATGCTGTCTTCTTTCCAACATGTATACTATATATAAATATATTTACATATAACTAGCATGTTATCTGTAGTTCTGTGGACTTATATCTGGGTCTTCTATTCTATTCCATTGACCTGCTTGTCTGTTTTTGTGCCAGTACTGAGCCATTTTTACTGCTATACTACAGAGTTGGATATAGTAATAACCCCAGCATTATGCTTTTTGCTAGCCAGGGTCTTTTGTGCTTCCATATCAGTCCTCCCTTGTGACTCTCAATATGCTTTCTTTGTTTTGTATCTCTGGTGGTTTGACTGTGAAGTGATGTGGGGTTTTCTCTGTTTGTCTACTTGGTGTTTTGTTTGTCTCTTGTACCTGGCCAGGCTTCTCCCTAGTTGGTTACCAAGAATTTGGGAAATTTCCTTTTACAGTTTTACTGAAAATGTTTTCTATGCCTCTGACATGACTCCTTCTCCAGTGCCCATAATTCATAGATTTGTTTTTTCTATGGAATCCCAAAGACCTCACATGTGCCATTCTTACACTAAACAAACAAACAAACAAAAACTATCATTAACTTTGAGTGAGTAATCCAATCCTCTACTTTAGCTCTCCTACCCTCTATATGATCTGGTCTGTTGACGAAGCTTTCCGATGAGCTTTTTGAATTATCAAGTTTTTCGTCTCCTGCATTGTTTCCATTTGATTTTCCTTTTCTACCCCTTTTTCTAATTATATTTTTTTATATCCTGAAATTACTTCCTTATTTCATTCATTCTGTAAGTACAGACTTCTTCCGACTAGAGTTTCCTGGCCTGGGTTCCTTTCTCCCATCAGGAGATAAAAACCTGACACCTGTGACTAAGAATGTGGACTTCCCACAAGCAGGGCTTTGAAGGGATGTGGTAGACCTACCCAACTGTCTTTTTTCTATGTGCAGGAAGAGCACTGCCCTCCCCTATCACAGCCTGAACTGTAGGGGAGGGAAACTGTCTTCTCTGACTGGTAGATTCCTGCTCAGGTTTCTTATCCTCATTTTCTGTTTTGTTGTGTTGCTGTCTCTTGTTTGTTTGTTTGTTTGTTTGTTTGTTTGTTTTGAGACAAGATCTCACTATAGATCCCTGGCTGTTCCAGAACTTCTCACTATGTAGACCAGACTGGCCTCAAACTCACAGAGATCCACCTACCTGTCTCCTAAATGCTGGGATTAAAGGTGTGCGCCACCATGCTCAGCTACCTGTTCACAGCCCTGTACTCAGTGCTTACCCTGCTTGGGTCTGCACTCTACAGTCTACATCTAGTTTTCAGTCGTGGAGGCTTCGTGCCCAGATTCCCAGAGCTGCGCCTTCACCCCGTCATGGAGATGACTGGTGGTGATTCACAGGAAGGGTGGCTGACACCTTGGTCTGGAACAGGCTTCTGCCACTCAGGCAGGGTTAGCAGTGGATGTACGTCAGGCCACCTTGTGCATCAGCATTGTCAGCTGTGAGGTGGCTGTAAGTGGGCAGTCCCTAGAAACAGTGGTCCCCAAGAATCCCTATGAGATAGAAATGTACTTAGGGTGCATCTAATGGCATCTTTTGTAGGCCATTAGACAAAGGAGGCACCAGGTTAGGTTAGAGAGTGTCTATGCGGGCAATTAGCCAGACGGACCCCCCGTGATTGTAACTGCTGTGGCTACAGCAGTAGGTTCCTAGTGAGGTCATGGAGGAAAGGTCACTGGTGGCGTGAAGAAGTATTTGATAGTGTAGCATGACAGAAGTAGCTTGACTGGTAGTGCAGTAGTCGTGGACCCTCTGCTTCAC